GGGACGTGTATCCTGCCACATCAGCGGTCCTGCCTCACCTGTACATACAGAAGCATACCTAGGATGTGAGCTTACACGCATGTGGATCTTCCTGTGCTCATGACATCCTGGAAATCCACCCCTGGCTTGTCAGCCCAGTGCAGTGGTATTTGGTTTGGCCAGTAGTTGTCTTGCTCTCAGCATGGAACGTCTATTATGTGTGAAAACATACCGTGTCTCCACTAGTTGTGAAAATACACATTCCTAGACCTTGCCAGGGTCAGTGTGAGGACTGTTAAAAGTAGGTGTTCATGTGTTCAAGTGGAGCACCACTGTACACATAGACGGCTACTGCCCTGCTGCAAAGACAGGGAGCAGGTAACTGATAAACAAAATTGCAGAAGAAAAAACACCTGGTGAAACTGGTTAGCATTGTTCAAGGGAATGGTGGAAATAAGTGACTATCAACTAGAGCAAAGTTGGAGTCTGCAGGGGCAGCTGAAGGAGAGAGGAACTGAAGTCTCAGAATACACCCAAACCCAGAGATTTTGTGAATGAAAAGAGAAGCCATATGCAGGAGGGTATGGGGTTCTTGAATAGGGTTTGAAAGGGCTCTTACTTAAACCCTGAAAAACGTACAGAAATGGTGAGAAATTGAGACATAAAATCATGTATAAACATGTATTGTTTCTTTTAGTTCTAAATACATATTAAGCTAGGGTGGGTTTTTTTGGTTTTGGTGTTTGTTTTTTTTTTGAGGAGCTTTGCGAAGACTGTGGTTCTGTTTGCTTAAATATTGCATGCTCATGAAGACTAGAATGGTGAAATCAGAGTATCTAAAAGGCTAGAGCTCTGGGAAAAAGTGTAGTTGGAATGTTAGCAGTGGTCCTAGGGTATCTGTATTGCTCCTCAATGAAATTGTGATGTGGTAAGAAGGAGAAGGCCTAAGAAATGTCCCTGTGAAACAATAAACCTGATTGTTGCTGCAACTTAGTGAAACCAAGGGAAACTCAGAAGAGAAAGGCTGAGAGAAATCTGGGAGGATAAATTTTTTCCATTAACTGAGGTCTTGGTGCAATTGAAGCAAAAAAGGGCCTGTGCCACTTTCTAAGTAGCATACTTGTTTTTGCTATTTCAAGACTACACTTAGCTACTGTAGGGTAAAAAAAAAAAAATCCCTTCCCCCTGAAAGCAAAAGTGCTTAAATTTGTGCTCAGTGAAGAGCTGCAGAGTCATTTCAAGTTTGGGCTTTTGGTCTGTCAAGAAAGATCAAGTATTTTCCTTCTGGGTGGAAGGAAGTGATGTGTGTGGGTACCACCGAACGCCAGCTGTAGACTCATGTCGGCAGGGAAGCACGCTCCGGATGGTGGCAAATATCCTGGTGGGGGAGCTCTGGCAGAGCTGTGCTGCCGATGGGCATTTATTCCAAGTTGTGCTTTCATTAAGAGTCTTGTTTAGAAAATATCTTAATAGCTTTGTATTTATTGAGTAGTGGTGACACAGATATCTGTTCCAGGAAAAGCTCACTGGGATTAACTAAATAATTGGAATGGCAGAAAATGTCTTTTCTTCCTGATTTGGCATGAGAGGACAGTGACTTTGCTAAGACTTGACTTCTGCATTTCTTCCTTCTGATTCTAATGCAGGCCATGCTCTTTCACTTTTCAGCTAGCAAAGCACAGCTGAGCAGAGAGCAGCATTACTAGGAAGTGTGCAGCCATCAGTGGTCCGTGGATTTCAGTTCAGTCACTATATTAAACTGACCCACAGCAATTTGCAGAAAATTTAAGGATTGCTGTCCAAGGAAGCAAGGGAAGGATGGCAGCTGTCTCTGAAATAACATCGTGGCTTGGATTGCTGCTAATCTCTCTCTCTTCTTGCACTGCTTACAGTGATAGAAAAGAAAGAAAAAAAAAAAAAAGAGCGTCTGTTGCAGTAATCAGAGAAAATAAATGACATAGCAAGAAAGCCTTATCGTGACTTAAAAATGACATTTTCCTGTTATAGAGTTCCAATATTAACTGTGTAGCAGGCGCAAGAAGGGAAAAAAGGGCTGATAGAAAATCAGAAAAGCGCCTGCAAATCAGGGTCACTTTAGAGGCTTTCGTGATTTCCTGTAATGTGACATAAAACGTCTATTGTGTTTTTGCTGGGAAATTTGTAGCTGAGGTCAATGTAGCAGAAAATAAAAGTTGAGAAAACATACACAGGGTTGCTGTGCTGGAATGAGAGTTGTGTTCCTTATCGAACTGATCACAGAGGATGGTGCCCATTCAAATTTACATAAAACAAATGCTAAAGTGTCTGTTAGACTGTATTCTAATATGTGTGTTGCTTCCTGCCAGTTTAATTTTGCATTATCAGAAAGCTTTTGTTTAGATGTAAGCAGCAGCTTTTGTTACTCAGACTCGTTAACACAGGTCTCTGACAATGGTTTCTCCTCCTCTCCCCGCTGCAGGCTGTCGGCACCAAGCAGTGGTGCTCGCTGTGGCCCTGATGCCGTCTTCCCGGCACAGTTCTGGCTCTGCCATGCTCGACACAGATGGGGCTGGTGGTGGGGATCTGGCTGGCTCCGGCAGCTCCGGTCTGGAGGGCAGTCAGCTTCCTCCCCCTAGCTCCCTGCTCAGGTGCATGGCCCTGCTGAAAGCCAGTCTGCAGTCTGACCTGGGTTTTCCCCAAGAAAAGCAAGAAACCCCAGAGGTCGGTCCTCCCTTCCACATCCCCCCTTCAGGGTTTGGCCCTTTAATGGCAGCGATACAAGCAGAGCTAAGCATCTCCCAAGGTTGTGTGTATGGTTTGCTAAAAAGTTCAGGGAAAGGAACACATACAGCAAGGGCCAGCGAAGTGCTGTGGTTTCGTAGGGAGCCAAATTGGGGACTGAAACTCAGTCCTAGGGCAGTGGTTTAACCACAAGGTCAACCCCTCATTCATTATGACTTATTTAATAACAAAGCTGAAATAAATACTTGAAATTGTCTTAGAGAATTTTTTGCAACTTTCTAGTCAGAATTAATTAGGTGCAGTGAGTAGAGCACCTGAACCATTAGAAATGATTCACTGCTTTCCTTCCTAAGGATGTAAATTAACACATGTTCTGTTTTGCTGACAGAGTGAATTCTGCTTTAGGAAACTCATGAAGCATGGCTAG